ATATATATATTTTTAATTCATTCATATTTTTCTCCAGAAATTAGAATTTCTCTAATATCAAAGCCTAAGAGCTAATATTATCAATAGAAGTTATTTTACATGTTTTGCGGACATTTCTGGCTATCTAAAAGTAAAATTAAGGGAAATTATCTTGGTGGTACTCGTTGATATAAACAAACTTTGGCGTCCTTTCACTTCATGTCAGTCGGAAGCAATAAAAACGTTTTCCAACTTTTTTTCGCATCACCAGAAATTACATATTCTTTAGTTTAACCTAAACTTTCCAAAAAAATATTAAATGTTGTTTGTTAATAGTAACGTTCGTGAGAAGCTACACAAGTCCTTACCCTCATCCTCTGACTAGTAACTTTTCACTGCTACAACTTCAGTTTACTGCATTTGCAGCTGCATATTCAAGTTACTTGACTATATACTGCAAGGATCAGCTCAATTTGATAAACTGTTTACTCGTATGAGAGTAAAAAGAAATGACAAATGACAAATGACAAAAAAACACAATGAACCCAGAAACCCAATAAATATTATCCAGAACTTAAATATTTCGTCAACCTTGATTCCTTCGTAAGGATGTTTCAGATCAAGTATTCTTAAACGCAAACTTTCTCGAACGCTCAAAACTAAGCAGGAATTAATAAATATATCTGTGAGTTTTCCCAAACTTACCTTAAGTTGTCACTAGCTAATAAAAGACAAAACAAATGTTGACCAAACGACATTGAATGTTCTTACATCTTCATATCTTGGTGTTCGCGTCGACTTTGATTTTGGAGGGTGTTCCCCGTCCCCTACTGCGTCGACAAAAACATGACATCATTAACAGGTGAAACGATAGTGCGCATGCTCAAGGCGTGTGTCTTATAGACCAATCTCGAACCCAGAGCCTGCGTTTCTTCTTCCCTGTGCTCTGGCTATTTTTAAAAAGGTTGAATACTGAATGATGAATAGTGCATACTGAATAGTGCATTCCAAGAGCGAAGGGCATTGATGTTCGTAGGGACATTGTCTAAAATAGGATTAATAATAATTATTTATTCAGTTTTAGTGTATTCCATCTCAAACAATATGTTAACTACATGCAGAGAGTTATAAATTGCTGCATAATGCTTTTTGGTCCTGGAATGCACTATTCAGCATTCAACCGTTTTTGAAATAGCTGTAGACAGGCCAAATATGAATAATAATATATCAGTAATTTATTCATCTTTTTCTCCAGAAATTAGAATTTCTCCAATATGAAAGCCTAAGAACTAATACTATTAAGAGAGTTATCACTTGATATGTTTTGAAAGTGTTTCCAGACGCCTATTGTGGTGTACATCGTAG